TAATCTAGTACTTGCTCAAACAACCCATAATTATGGTATAATCCTTTTGTTTAAGTACCTTAGATGCTCATTTTCTATTCTTTCATAACGAACAAAGCATTCTTAGACTTCATTTTGTTTAGTCCAGATTTATTTAGGAGCTCTTTTAAAATGCTTCTGACTTTCTGAGCTAACAGCAAAGGTGTTTAATACTTATATATAAATTAAACAAAATGAAAAAATATGAAGATTAATAATTTTAAAATGTAGACTTGGGGTTAGTCCAAGTTATCTGATAGGGTTTATGTTTTCTTCGCATCTAGCAGACAAGGACAGGGAATGCGGAGATGCACATGCAGAAATCAAGGCATTAAAAGTACTCTGAACGTGTAAAAGAGAAGGCAGTAGAAGAGGTATTTAATTGGTTTTAGCTCCAAGAGTTTGCTCTTATCTGTACTCCCAGTTAATTTTTCTATATCAACAAGCAGGTTACCTATGTTTTGATGGATATGAATCCGTGGCCTTCTCTGACTCTAATGGTCAATCCTTATATTTTCTTACCAAGAATTTCTAGTTTTGATGTACTTCTTCAGCTGATTGACCAATGACAAATTTCGTGCAATAAGAAGAGAACTTATTTTTCTATAGCTCTAATAACTCATTTGAACAAAAGAATTTTGTTAATCACTAATATTCAACTAAAGGAGTTCAAGAACACTAAATGCATCATTCTAGAACTTGAACATGTTTTAAATTTCAGATATCCATAATTCTATTTAAGCCCTTCCCGAGGAAGCTTGAACTACATTTTCATGCTGATGTGATGGGAATCTTTTGAGAGCTTCATAATTGGCTTGTTTATTATCTCCTTTGCACCAAAAAATATATTCTATTAGAAGTTCACAAGATTAACAAACTGAGGAGCATCTCAAGCAATAGGATGCGGCAGCTAGTTGTAATGTCCCAGATCTAAATTGTGGGTCTACTTTGAAAATTTGAGCTTTGGTTGAGGATAGGAAAATGCCATTGTAGTTCACTTGTTCTGCAATAACCTATAGGTCATCATTTTGAGGCCTCATTAAAATTATGATGGATTGTTGAGCAAGGGGCCTCCTTGGGCTTTTTCTTAATGGTTGAGCTTGCATGTCTTGCTTTTTGTTAGGCATTTTCCCTTTCTTCATTTGCCTTTGAAGGATTCCACATTCTATTTTTTTCGTGTTTCCAAAAAAAAAAATGTGTGGTTTTTATATAGGAGAAATAGAAGTTTAACATAGGGTTTTCAGAACTGCAAAGTGTGCATTCTCTGTCTGTTTACTATTTAACTAATCTTCCCACAGTAACTGTTTGTGTGTAACCTTTGGTCTTTCATATTGAGCTTGTTGAAGTGACATGTCTATTTTTCACTCAATACATCTCAAGGTGCATATATTGTCCTGATGAGGCTGGCTAATGCATAAACACTTCATAGTGAAACATTTCATCAATCAATACCAATTACAGATTTATTGACCGTATGTCATTTGCAAAGTTGAATATCTGGCGGTGAAATAATTTTCATGGATGTTTGTAGGCCTTGTCACTCAATTCCATACTCATTGCAGTACAAGATAGTCCAGATTCTGGGTTTATATGTTTTTGGTAAAACAAGCAATTTGTTGCGGTGAAAATACATGAAATATGATTTATTTATTTTTTTCTTTGGGGTGTACAATATTAGTGAATTTTTTTTTTATAAAATCCCACTTTCTAGGTCTTGTAACATTCTATATTATTACCAATCCATAGTTGAATTTCACCAATATTGGTTGGCTTGTTTAGTTGATCTGCTCAAAGTGGTTCATAGCAGATCGATAACATGGCAAACATTGAAGGGCAATTACCATTATGTTTGCTTGTGGACCTATTAAGTAATTTTTTATTAGATTTATTAATTTATTAATTTTTATCTTTATAAATGGCATTGAACCTTCAAGGACCTTATATTGATGTCATCATTAGGAGTTAGAACGAACAAGTAATGTGGAAGTTCTCTTTTGATTGAACACATGGTTTATATTTCTCCTTAAGTATTATTTTTACATTACTAAATTTCTAGACCATTCACGTAATAGTCAAATTAATCAATAAATCTTTTGGTGTTTGATTTTCTTGCAACATATTTTGATACTTTCTCCATAGGGTTTACTTTTTATGCACATTAATATGCTTTTTTCATTTTGTTCTTATTTAATTTTTTTTTTCTTCCAAAAAATGCATTTGTCTTGTTTTTGTACCTTTTTCCTCCAATCTATAAAATTCATCTTCACTTACTATAGTTAGTTGATGAAAGAATGGAGCTCTTTGGCTAAGAAGTAGGATTTTGTTGTTTTTTTTGTACTTTATCCTTAAATTTGAAATATTCATCTTCACTTGAAAGAACTTGCTAATACATAAATCAAGCTCAACGCCAAAAGCTTGGATTAAATAGTCTTGAATTGATTTTTAACACATTCAAGGATTAAGTTATAAGTTAAATTTACTCTCTTTCTGAATATATTTATAGTGATGCTGCTCATTTATTCTTTTGGTCAACGCCATTGTAGCTAACTGATGAACTGAATAAAGTAGATGAGAAGCTAAAAGCTACTGAAGCTCTTCTGGAAAGCAAGGTACTTTGTGTTGTGATTCTGTTTGTTGAAAGCCAGCTCTTCGTAGAAGTTATATTCTACATGTGCTGATGGGTTTGCCTTAATTTTCTAGAACCTAGAGATTAAGAAGATAAATGATGAGAAAAAGGCATCTTTGGCTGCACAATTTGCCGCAGAAGCAACCCTTCGAAGAGTCCATGCTGCTCAGAAAGATGATGAGATGCCTCCTATTGAGGCCATAATTACTCCACTGGAGGCAGAGCTAAAACTAGCTCGGTTGGAGGTAAATATCAACTTCTCCAACAATGACTTCATAACTTTCTTTCTTTGCTCTTGAGTCATGGCCATGGTGTACTTTTTTGTTAGAATTTACCAGAATTTACCACTCACCTACTACCTCCACATGGTCATGCTGTACTAATAACATCATCCATTCCTACATATCGTGATTGATGTAGAAAGCATTAGGAAACACTCTCGTTGTAGCTCCGATGCCAAAGTTGATATAGGATGGTCTTTACTGCCAAATAATCATAAGTACGTGGGAGCAGGTTAACAAATTATAAAGTTAGGGTTAACAAAGTTTTAAGGAAGGGATTTTAGTTAGGCAAAGAAAAATAAAGTTTTGGGGCTGCAGTATCAACAGATAGTAAAAAACTAATTTGCATTTAACCAACAGGTCCATCTCACCAATTCTAATTCAACCAAAAATATGTAGTTGTTGGAAATGAGGGCTAATTAAGAGCTGTAAAAAGAGAGAAGAAAGTGAGCAAAGTCCTTGAGAATCACTCTACCTAGGGTTAAAGCTCCACATCTGTCACGAGAGGCATAAATTTTGAGAATTGTCTTATGCTCTTTGTTTGCATTTAAGGTACTGTTTTCTAACATTTGGGTTGCCCCTCAAAATCATATGAATTTTTATATGGCCCCCATCACAAGAAAATGTTCACTCTGCGCATTTATTAAATGTTCTATGTACTTCCCCAGCAGAAGAAATTTCTGGGTCAGCTACTAGTCACGCGACGCCTAGGTCTAGGATTGCATCACACAAATCTTAAAATGCACAATCTTTGGAAATTTCTCTTAAAACTTGCTTGTCCTTGATTCTAATGTGCTACACCTATACGTAGACTTCCAACGGCAACTAATTTTTGTACAAAGTCTAAATCTCAAACACTAGATAGTGGTGATTTTGGAAGCTTTTAACAAGTATAAGCCAACCTTAGAACTATTAAAGACTACAGAAAGAGCAAATAAAATGACCCAATAGTACAATCCATTTCTAAGGCTTTTTGAAATTGGCTAAGTATTCTTGAATCCAAAAGTTAAAGAAGAGTGAACTAAAGAAATATTGGCAGCATGTTTACTCAAAGAAAGCATAGACCAAAACTAAAACTTGATCATGAAAGCCATTGGCCCACCATAAAATCCAACCAATTCCTAAAATTTCCCTCCTTCAAAATTTATATTTCCTTGAACTTTTTATGGATTCTATGAGCTTTCTTGGCCCCATTGTGAAAGTGTTCAAGCCATTACGGGGATTTGTTATTCTATGTACAGGATTATGTTTGAAGGATAAGTCTTTTAATTATGCATGAGATTTTGGCTTTGTTAGGTGGCAAAGTTGCAAGATGACAACAGAGCACTTGATCGCCTTACCAAATCTAAGGAGGCTGCTTTGTTGGAGGCCGAGAGAACTGTTCAGATGGCTTTGGCGAAAGCAGCCTTGGTTGATGATCTACAAAACAAAAACCAAGAGCTAATGAAGCAGATAGAAATATGCCAGGTTTTATTATGTTTGAAAGTTCTCATTTTTAAGACTATAGATGTAAATGCATGCATGTACTTTGGTTATCAACTACTGCTGTGCAAAATCTGAGGTATTATGTATTCCTTTTGTTTCAGGAGGAGAATAAAATCTTGGACAAAATGCATCGGCAAAAGGTTGCAGAGGTTGAAAAACTAACCCAAACTGTTCGTGAGCTCGAGGAGGCTGTTTTGGCTGGAGGGGCTGCTGCCAATGCTGTGCGTGATTACCAGAGAAAAGTGCAAGAGATGAATGTAATAACCTACTAAGCCTAATATTCGTGGAATTGTTCTCGAAATAACTGGTGGCTATCTCTAATTTATAATTTTTTTACGAATCTGGTTCTGTTTTTAAATCCTGTGTAGGACGAGAGAAGAACTCTGGACAGAGAACTAGCTCGCGCAAAGGTTACAGCAAATCGGGTTGCTGTTGTAGTTGCAAATGATTGGAAGGATGCCAATGACAAAGTAATGCCTGTAAAGCAATGGCTTGAAGAAAGAAGATTCTTTCAGGCATGTTATATTCAAAATCACTTTCAATGATATTTTGAGATTTGCATCTTCCTTAATTCATCAAATAGTAGTGTAGCCACAAGTCAGATTCCATGGCTTTCAGTGAAAAGCTTCACATCACTGCAGCAAATTACTGATGGGATTATCATTTTATCCATTGGTGATTCATGTAGACACCCTTGGTTTCTTGTGAGTTGTGAGAATGGTAGAAAAATGTACTTGGAAATTTGCTTTCCGTAATATCTCTTGATATCTTAAATTGACATATGAACAAAACCAGGAACCATCAAGAGTCTATACTGTTCCCAATGTCCCATGTAATTCTCTAATGGGATGCTATTTCTCATATCTTGCGTGTGATATCTTAAATTGGCATATGAACAAAACCAGGAACCATCAAGTGTCTGTACTGTTCCCAGTGTCCCATGTAATTCTCTAATGGGATGCTATTTCTCATATCTTGCGTGTGATGAGTATAAAGTGAGATCATTTTTAAAAGATATGCATGTGCCTGGAGAGCTGAACTAGACAGTAGCCACTATGTTATTTTCAGAATTACTTTTGAGCATCTTTGTTTGGCCCTTTGTACTAGAATGTGGTTAGTTTCGGTATGTGGAACAAGATCGGGAACGTGGTATGCCACATTATCTAAAATGTGGTCCGATAAGGGTAGACTTGTTTAGATTACACTCTAAGAATTTAAAATACTTCAAGAACAATTTTCTTTTAACAATTACACATCAAATAAAATGTTGCTTTCTTTTTTCAAATTAATCATGTTAAAACATATTTTTATGAGCATTAAAACCCAATTTTATGTTTTGTGATGCCGAAACTCCACTATTTGATTTGTTTTTTCTCCTAAAGTAACTTTTAAGGTCTATATTGGAAAATATTTTTGGGATTGCTTTGGATTGCTAAATTCATTGTTATGGAACGTAAGTGTACCATGTTTTGGAATATGCGTTCCAAAGCGTAAATTACTGAAGTATTAGGTGTTTTCTAGTAACACTGGTTTGGCCATTTCCTCGTCTCAGCATTTTGATGTTTCAAATAGAATAACATAGTATGGTATATCCATGTAGGGAGAAATGCAACAGCTTCGAGACAAACTTGCAATAGCAGAGCGCACCGCAAAGGCTGAGGCACAGATGAAAGTGAGTAGCTTATTAGTTGCTTTTGTTATTTCTACCATAAACCTTATGTTAATGGCCTGTTGGTTGATGCTTACACAGGAAAAATACCAGTTACGATTTAAAGTTTTGGAAGATAAGCTTAAAGCATCTCTTAATGGTATTTCCCGAACTCCCAGCAAAGGAAGAGGCATAAGCAATGGACACTCACGACGCCAATCTCTTGGTGGAGTGGTGGAGAATTTGTCCAGAACACCCTCGAACGGTTTTTTGTCAACGAAAACAAATGGTCAATCTGGGTCCTTCCGGTCCAATAGTGCTAGTGCATTATTAAAGCATGCGAAGATTTCAACAAGATCATTTGATGGTGGAAGCAAATCAGTGGATAGGGATAAGTCAGTTCCGAATACAATTGAGAAAGATGACAGACCCATTGATGCCGGTGATCATATCCAAAGTAGTGAGATGTTTTATTCACACGAGGGGAATGGAAATGGGAATGGGATTACCATTGACAAAACAAAAATAGAACATGAAGATTATGTTTCTGGAATGTTGTATGATATGTTACAGAAAGACATCATAACTTTGAGGAAAGCTTGCCATGAGAAAGATCAGAGCCTTAAGGACAAAGATGATGCAATTGAGGTGAGAGATCTTATGTATCAGTTTAGCGCTCTGTGTGTGTGTCTGTGTGTGTCTCTGACACTATTGTCTCTGATGTGCACTATCCAGATGTTGGCAAAGAAGGTCGAAACATTAAATAAAGCAATGGAAGTTGAGGCCAAAAAGATGAGGAGAGAAGTAGCTGCCATGGAAAAGGAAGTTGCTGCAATGCGTATTGGCAAGGAGCAAAATCGAACGGCACAACGCCTCAGTGCTCCCCGTGGAGCTGTAAATGGTGTTCAGTTGCATTCATCAAGGTGAATTCTTTATATATGTACCTGGCTTCAGTTTGTAGAGGCTTAAATATTTGGTTTTTTTTTTATTTTTTTATTTTGGTTTTTGGTATTTTTTTTATTTTATTTTAACAAGTATCTGGTACCCTTGAATTTATCGGGTATACATATCTGGTGAAGGTGTTTATTGCATGTGTGTGTTGTGCATACCCTTTTGATGATTTTGATGAGCATCTGATTTTTTTTAAGAGAAGACATTCGTTAAAGGTTCGGAACAGAGATGGGCTGTAAATCTGATTCCATGAACATTCTCCGTCTTCCATGAAAACCAATGCTATTTGAATAGGTTTAGTAGTTTCCTTGAAAAAAGATTGCTTTTATTCCAGACAAAGTGAGTTTCCAGCTATCCAATTTCATTGTTAATTGTATGGAAAATCTACTAGTTTATGGATCAATTCTGCTACGAACGCATAAATCAGACATAGATATGAACACAGAACACACAAGAATGGACAAAATATAACAAAATTTATTAGTGTGACCCACTTCTAAAATCGGTTTCTGTGGAACTGACTAGTTTGCTTAATTTTCAGGAATACTCGAAATTTGTAGGTAGCAGCAGATGGGTGATCATTTCCAATGCTAGAGAATGTCATACTGAAGTTCATTTGTGCAGTCAATAGGTTGTATGCATTTATAATGATTTTTTTTCCCTCATGTCTTCCACTTGGCCATCTTGTTTCGTTTTCTCAGCCAACTGGTAGATTTGTAGAGAACTGACTTCAATACAGATCTTGTTGTATATTTGTGTACTAATGGTATTATTGAAGAATTTATCCCTCAAGTCTATTGTGCAATTCATATAAAAATGTTGATTTTGTAAAATCCTATTAGGGAAGGTGTAGTATCTCTAGTTACACTCCATTAAAAAGTTTTAATTTATCTCCTTGCATTCTCATAATTCCAAACATACTCCCATTACTCTCTTCATTTCCTTACACCCCCTACGCCTTTCAAACCATAAGTCACACCCATTGCCACGACCAATGGTGGAGTCAGAAATTTAATATAAGGGGCACACATTAATTCCCCAATCATTAACAATAGCATAATAATAATTTTTTGAGCTAATGTTAAACATTAAAAATTAATATTCATTACAAAAAGTTTTTAATTTTAAACTTTTACAATTGATCCCGACGAGTTTTTATCTTTTGAAATCTTTCCATGTTAGTATCATTGTCAATGCCATCAAAAATATCTCTCAAAGTAGACAACCAAGCTATCATTCATCCATTTATCACCCATTTGGTTCCGCAACCGATTCTTCACAATATTCATAGCTAAAAATACCCTCTCAACAATAGCAGTTGCAATAGGTAAGATTAATGTTAAAGTCAAGAGCAAATACACCAATGGATATACTTTGTCTCTTTCAGTCTCCACCATTTTTTTAGCAAGATCAACAATTCCATTCAACATTAAGAACTCATTACGGGATAGTATATCGATAATATATGTATCAAGTTGACCATCAAGTACCATGAGCTCCACTGATGAAAATTCTTTGGGATAATCGATAATATATGTATCAAGTTGACCATCAAGTACCATGAGCTCCACTGATGAAAATTCTTTGGGATAAAATTCAGCAAGATGACAAATCAAAATTTCTAATTTTAGCACAAATTATAACAAATCAAAATCGCTAATTTAAATATTAATCACTGCAAATTAATATTTTTAATTTTAGCACAAATCAAATCCCTAATTTTAGCACAAACAGCAACAAACCAAAATCCCTCATTTTGATATAAATCACCACCAATTAAGATTGGTAATTTTAGCATCTCAAAATTTCTTATTTTAACATAAATAATAACAAATCAAAAAATTTTACAAATCAAAACTTAACAAATAACTATGAATTAATACTCATAATTTTTATCTAAAAGGTAAAAAAAAATAAAAATAAATAAAGTTACATGTAAACAATGAAGAGAAAATACCCAGTTTGTAGTATGGTCCCAAATTTGGGTTGTGTGATCCTAATTTGGTGAATCGCGAATCGGTAAATTGCAAAGCAACAAAGGGAGATAAAGGAGATAAAGAAAATACGAAGATACTTAACAAGTACGGTGAATAAATAAAAAAAGAAAGAATTCCATACACTTTTTGAGTTTTTGAGTTTTAGCCTTACTGTAATTGGAGTTGTGTGCACTCACTCAAAAAAAAAAAAGTTATGTGTCAGTATTTGGTTAGGATTGGGATTTCACAAAAAAAAAATAATAATAAATAAAGAAAAATAAACAAACAAACGTGGGTGCGTACGGTGTGTGTCAGTGGGTTTGAGATCCATTTGGGAGGGTTGTGTATTAGGAGGGGCACTGTGTGTGAAAGTCAGACCCCACTAAAAAAAAAAAATCAAAAGTTAGGGGGGCACGTGACCCCTGACCCCAACATCCCTCTGCCACTGGCCACAACTACTTTCGATCGTCGTAGCAACCACCTCCTTCACTTCCAACTCATTGGATTCGCAAAATCTGAACCCCAGATAATAATAACCGACCCAATAATAAAAAGAAGAAAAAAGGAAAGATCCCACTACAAAAAATTTGATTTTTTCCGACGGTAAAATACCGTCGCAAATACTCATTATGCCATCTCAAAAAACTTTTAGCGACGACAAATGACTTTTAGCGACGGCAAACGGGGGGTCACAATAAAGGGCGTTGCAAAAACTTTTTAGCGACGGCATCATACCGTCGCCTTTTTTTTTGCGACGGCATATGTTACTATTTGCGACAGCATTTTACTGTCGCAAATAATGTGTAAAAATACAGACCTTTTTGCGACGGCACTGTTTTACCGTCGCTAAAAGTATTATTTGAGACGATAGAAATTGTCGTCGCAAATTGTTTTTTTTTTTGCGGCGGCATATTGCTTTTTGCGACAGCATTGATTATTTCACAAAAAAAGGTTTTTGATTTTTTGAGACGGTGTGGTGCCGTCGCAAAAAATGCAATATTTATTAAAAATTATAAAATACTTGTTTTTGCGATGTTTGCGACGGTTTGGTACTGTCGCAAAAAAAAAAAAAAAAACACTAAAAAACTAAAAAACCTCCTATAAATTAATTAAAAATATTAAAATTACCTATATTCAATGAAAAAGAATTTTTTTTAAAAAAACTAAAAATTGCATAATAATATAAAAATTCCTCTATAGAAATAATAATTTCTCCATAATAAACATATTCTTAAATTCATAACTATACATTAACAAAATTAACCCAGTACATAATGTTCCATAATACATATATAATGTTTAAATACATAATGTTCTTCATAATTCAAAATAACATAAATCAAAATTAAAAATTTTCCTCAACATTCTCCGTGATACAAAAACAAAAATTAATGGCATTCTTCATAGGCATGAAATCCACAAGAAGCAAACTCCTACTCCAGAAATATCTGGGAAAAAAAATAAAAATAATTAATGACAATATAATTATGTCTTAAAAAGAAATTGGTCTTCTTCCCGATAAATGTTTCAACAGCAGGTAAGCAAGACAACAGTGTTGAGATGACCGCAGTATTGCTACTGGAGAGTTGAGCAACTCCAAATCGGTCTTCTTTGTGCGAATGAACAGTCAGTGAGGAGACAATCAGGGCACACCATGCATATAACTGCATAACAGTGAGCAATCACTATCAGCTCTTTTAACCAAGCATTTACAGGAGATGGCTTGAAAATAGATATTACAAACACTTACTTATATAGCAGCTAATCAAGTATATGTGTCCCTTCCCAGAGAAACAATGTCATGGAAGTATATGAACAAAAGTAATTAAGAGTTGGAACACACTGGAATCTGAGGATACACGTAACTTTGGAAGATCACAAACTAAAACTAAAGTCCAAAAAATAAGTACCTACATCAGATATTGAATCCACACCAAGGTCTACAACTCAAAAGATAAGTACCTATAGCAGATATTGAAATTCAAAGTAGTTTTTAATTAAAAAGCTAAAAAATCTAATTACTATTTTTCTTATAGTGTTTTTTTTTTCTTCTTTTGTTTTATTTTATTTAATTTTTTCGATGGGAGGTGTGAGGAGAGAGGGTTGAGGGAACAACAGGTCAAAACCTCTATTTATCCATATGCAAAGTGGAGTATCCCATCAGATCTGGACAGACTTAACTTGTTAATTGCTTAAAGGCCTGTATTTTTGCATCAAAATTTCAGGGGTTTACTAGCCCATTCCCCTCTCCCATCTGGACTCATCAGGGGAACATGAGGTCCATAGAAGAGCAATACTGAATCCAATCCAAATAGGTACACATTCAAGACCCAAACACCATTGCATTTCCAAAGTAAATAATTCTATTTACTTGTAACCAAAGTACGAACGCATCACTTCTTTCAGTAAGGTGGTCTCCACTTCCCACCATCACTAGCCTAAAGAAAAGAGCAGTGACTATCTGTCTACCGACCCATCAATTAGCAAAATGCATGTGTGCAGACACACACATGGAGGAAGAGTGAGAATAGAGAAACCTCTGGGACTGAGTTCTTGTAAATCATGTGAATGTTCCACGAGATTACTAGATGAGCTCACACGGCCACATACACACAAAGACTTGAAGCAGAAACTTTTCAAAAATTACAAAGAATATAATTCTTGCTACCAATGCTCATAATAATTCTTGGCACCAATGCTCATACATTTCTGAAAACTGGTTTACCACTCACAAAAGAGAGAAATTTAAGCACACTCAATAATGTGTAGCAAACAAGAAATATTGCATCCATTGACACAAGATTTCACAAATTTATTAGTTATTATTTTCTTCATTATTTGAGCCTACATGCTTCTTGCACATGTAAACTAGGATGTAGATTTTTATTTTTACTTTTATTTTGATAGGTAATTACAGTAGACTCGAACTTTAGTCTCTTTAGAATGAAGTATTAAGCCATTGGGGTTTATCTTGGGGACAAAACTAGGATGGAGATATGGTACACAAATTCATAACTAGACATGTATAAGTATAACCATATCCCCCAGACTGAAGGTAGGAAAAGTTACCAAGTTCAACTTCTAGTGCCTATGTTGGAAAAAGACACCTAATGCATGTCCTTTAATCAAATAAAAGAACAATTCATGACCTTCAAGGTTCCCACAATCAACATGTGGCACAAATATATGTGCAAGGAAGGGGGGAAAAAAGGGATAACATCATTTCCTGATTAAAAGATAATATGAAAATCCTTACTAAAACTTGATAAATAATAACTACGAACATCATTGGATGAATCCCCTTAACATGCAGACAGAAGAATGAGAGATAATATGAACATAAGCTCAAAGTACAACTATACTAGTCAATGCACAACCAATAGTCTAACAGGACCCAACTGTTTTTCTTTTTCTCCTTTTTTTTTTGGGATCCGGACCCCAATCTTCAAAAGAAGTTATTTTTAATAGAAAAATTGATCGAGACCAACATTGCTGATAAAATAAGGAATACAGTTAACTTATCAAAAAATATATAAGAAGCACACTTAGCCTACTAGCAGTTTTTTAAGTGAGGTTTAGGAATTCAAGTGCTAGATCTTGAGTTCCAGTTTTCTAGATTGTTATTCTAAATAACCGCACTCACTCATGCACATAAACACATTACTGTTGTTGTTTGGTCCAGCAATTAGTTGTAGTAGCCTCAAGACTCGCAATATGGAACAAAAGAATTGTCTCATTGATCTAATGTCATGATACGAACAGGACCTGATCATTTCCAATAACTAGCAAGGAAACAAAATAAAGCAAAACAATGTTCAATGTCTTACTTTGACAAACGAACCATGCATTTTCAGCTTTACTAGGAGACTTTTCCTCAACTGACTAATCCCAATCTTAGCATCATTGTCGTCTGCGCAATCCTCTGCCGACTCATACCTACAAATTAAAAAATAAAGCCAAAAATAAATAAATAAATCAAAATCAAAAGATCCACAATTCAATAACCTTAGCCAATAATCTATACATAGACAAGGATATGGAACTATAATTTCCTATCCGAAGGGGTGAGAATGATAATAGATTTTTTTTAGTAATTGATATAAACTATCATATTTCAATTCATGAATAAAAAATAAAGTAAGACATAATATTAAAGGAAATCATCTTCACCTGATGTTCTAGAATTCTTATGAATCATTTGATCAACACACAAAACAGAGAGGAAAAATAAGCAAAGCATTTTCTTCTATAAAAAAAAAAAAAACCATGAACATCATCATCAAACCCAACATAGAGGATAGGGAGCGACAGTAGTGGTGAAGGTGGTGGATAAGAGGTGATAGTGGTAGTGGTGGTGGTGGTGATAGCGAATGAGATTAGTGGTAAAGTTGTGGTAGTGGTAGAGGAGATAAAGTAGCGGTGGTGGATGAGAGGTAATGGTAGTAGTAATGGTGGTAGTGGAGTGGTGGTGATGGTGCTAGTAATGATAGTTGTAGAGGCGGAGTGGCAACAGTGGTAGTAGTTGTGGTAGTGGAATGACATTTGCAGTAGTGGTGAAGGTGGTAGAGGAGATGGGTGGTGAGAGA